ACCTCTCTCCTATCCCCTTAGGATTGCCCCTGTGCAAACACAGAATACAAGCCCTGGCCAGGCAAGGATGGGTTCAAGCAGCAGCAGGGACACATCTCCTATACGCCACAAACTCCCAAACATTGGAAGATATGGAGCAGATGGACGACAAGGAGCAGACCAGAGAAGTGCAATGACACATACGAGAGCTGAAGAGACCCAAACAAAACTGGTTGGAACGCCAGATAGCAGCAAGCTCTGATGGGTCACGCTTATCTTCTCTGTATCCTTCCAATTTTAACTATTATTCTGGAGGACAAGGGCTAACTCAAATTATGTGGAAGCAGATGCTCTTTCAGCAGCAAGTGGCAGACCGTTAACAGCAACACATGCCCTCCTGAACTTCACTGGTTGGGGGTAGCAGGGTACTAGGTTGATTCAGGGGGGTACGACTTGGTCGCAGAGATACGAATGTTCAGACAAACTGTCAAGGGGAATAGGATATAAAGGTTTACAGGGACAGACATGACAATAATCAAACAGAGGGGCTGCTGAAATAAGGGCTGGGTAAAAAGATAAGGGGTGCTCCTAAAAAGGGCAGGGTGATACTAGCAGCTCCAGGGGATGATGGAGCCCCAGGATGAGTCAATAATAATCACAGCCCCAGGAGACAACAAACACCAATCTCTGTGCTACACGATGTGTCAATGGGACACTGGACCCGGTTTCCAGCAGGTGCCGCTCCCCACCAATAGATGGCGCAGCCCGACAGGTAAGCCCTCAATTCTGACGGTTCTCTTACCATCGCCAGGATAGAGGGATATCGCAAGGGCCTTTCTCAAAAAAAAAAAAAAAAAAAAAAAAAAAAATCCTTATTCATTTTTGAATTCATTTTCCAAAAGGAAGGCAAAATTGAAACGAAGATAGACACGGGGCACGGTTCCACGAGCACACGAGTCACGGCCTATTCCGACCTGTGCGGCACTTTGAGAAAAGGAAGAAAAGTATGACCATGCCACATTTCCGAAGATGGGAACCAGGGCAACGTTTGAAAGTGTTGCTTACCACCCTGCCAATGTTGAATGAGGACAGAGTGGTAGGTGACAATTGCAGTCTCACGTACCACCCCGAGGGAGTCCCTTTATGCGCCCGACTAGACTCCCTTCTCTGACGATTGCCATGCTCAAGTGTGCACTTTGCATATTTTTAGAGAAAAAATCAAGTACTGAATGGGGCTGGAATAAATAGGAAAAAAAAGGTGTTGAATACCAACTGAAACGATTTTCACCTTTACAGATGTGACGCGCAACTTCACGCCCTGTGCTGTCTTCGTTTCGGAGTGCTAAGGGTGCGGAAAGAAGGCCCACGAAAACAGCAAGATGGGGTGTGCCAAGGATTTTTGAAAAATCGAGTGTGGGGACACAGACTGAACTGAAATCCCCCGTGTTGGCCTGATGAAGTAAGTCGGTTGCTTTCGCGCTTCACGGAATGCGCACGCGGGCGCGGCGCGAAAAGAGAAAAATCCAAATTTAATCCAAAAAGTATTGTCGAACTTCCCACCGCGCTACGGCTCTTCGTTTAGAGCGAAAGAGCTTCGGTACACTCCGCGTGTCCCGTTTTCGTGTCAAGTCTCGACGTCGCTCGTTGGTCAGTTTCGAGTCCGACGTAGAGGGTCTCAGCCGCGCGGCTCTTTCCTTGTGCTCGTCTTCACTCCGTATTTGGTAGTGGAAGCCCTTTGATTCGTAGTTGTTGAAACGCTGACACTTAGTGCACAGGGTTCGAGGCCAATGGGGCGCCACGGCCGTCGACGGAATGACGATCAGCTCGTTAAATGGCAACAATACTCAGTAAGGCGGGAAGTGCATACCGACAATGACAAAGCCCGCATCCACAAATCCAGAACAACGATTTTTCGAGAGGGAAGTAATATCGTCCGCCGATCCGTGCGACAGCTTCTCGTACGTCCCACTCGCAAACACGTGTCCTTT